GAGCTTCTGCCCGCTCTTACTCTTAGTCGCTCCCTTCCCGGCATGTGCAGTAGCGGAGTGAAGGGAGAGCGCCGCTAGCTCCTCCTCCCTGCTACCCTTGGATTGATCGACGGCGCCGAGCAGCGCTGAAAGGAGGGTCAGCAAGAGAGCTGAGAGGCCTAGTCCCTTGCTCACCTGAGCATGCGACGACTACCAGGACGGCACCTCCAACCCACGTTGCGTTCTTCTTCAAGCTTTCCATTGTTGAGTGGGTTCTCAGTCAAGGCGATTAATGCAGCAACTTTACTTCAGACATCCCCGAGACTCTAGAACCTGCCAGGAGCATCAGCACGTGGTACTAGGATACTTCTTCTCCCTCCCTCCCTCCCTCCCTCCCTCCCTCCCTCCCTCCTTCTCTTCTCCCCTCAAGTCATCCTCTCGTTCATCTCTGCCATCTACCCACCCATGGTCTTCGTTTCCTCTCCCTCGTCCTCCCACACATCACGTCTCCATCCTCGCCTCCCATCTGCCTCCCTCCTCTCTCCTCTCTCCTCAAGTCATCCTCTCGTTCATCTCTGCCATCTACCCTCCCATGGTCTTCGTTTCCTCTTCCTCGTCCTCCCACACATCACGTCTCCATCCTCGCCTCCCATCTGCCTCCTCCCCTTCTTCCCTCTCCCCCTGCATTCCAACTAGTCCCTTCTAGAGCCTTGAGGCGCCATTGCGACAAAAATAGACCCTTGGTATTCAACTGGGTGGGTACCACTACCCTACCCACATCCAACCAACATCTTATGGTATTTCGAACGGGTAGGTAAATTACCTCGGTGTGATTTTATGGTTATCCTGCAGATATGAAACTTTGAAAGGAAACTTTCAATTTCGAAACTTCTGTACTTGCAATCCTACCTCAAAGTTTCAAAGTTTGGCCCGTACCTGTATCTTTCGTCCCCGGTGGTGGGGGTGTCTCCGAGCATGGTAGGGGGTACATGCTCATCTGTGGAGGCCGTGGAACGGGTAGGGTAGTGGATGGATAAAAGGGGGTATTACATAGACAAATGTACCGGTAGTGAATGATACAATGTTTTTAAGACCTCAGGGTCCATGAGGGGGAGGGGGTGGATTTTTTAGTCAGGTGATGCCTAAGGCATGGCAGGGACTGGCTGGAATGGGTCACAAGATGGCGAGGGGAGGAGGAGGACGAGGAGGAGGACGAGGAGGAGCAGAGCAGGAAAGAGGAGGGATGGACGTAGAGAAGCTCGAGACGGGCACGGATGAGAGAGATGATAAGAGCACGTCTCATAAGCAGCATCGGAACATTTCTACTTGTAGTTTGGAGACATTAGGCAGGATCCAACATAGGAGCATGAGATGGTTGAACAGACAGCCATGACTGCCAAATACCCTCCTTCATCTAAACTAATCTGAACCTCGGAAGTTGACATTCTCCTGACAGAACCTCGGACAATGGGAGACAGGTTGCCGAAAATGGGAAGATCAGGCGGATAGGGGTTAGCAAACAGGTAATCTACCCAACTAGCATACCTCCACCTTCACAACAAGGTGCAAGTGATCGAGGACGAGGACGAGGATGAGGGCGCGAATCTTTCATGTCCTCCTCATGTTCGCCTCGCTGTCAACCTTGGGAACATCCTTTCTGACAGGGGAAACGAAATCCAGCGCTGCTTGTTTGAGCTTTGCTCGCCCCCCCCCATCTCCGGCACAATGACGCTAAGGCACACCTTCCTGCTGTCTGTTCGAGTAGGAGAGGAGCAGGAGCAGGAGCAGGAGCAGGAGCAGGAGCAGGAGCGGGGGCAAGGGTAGGGGAAAGAGCAATGGGTAATGCAGGGCAGCTCCGGATGGCAACGGCGTCGAGGGACCTCAGGTGGAGGGAGGGAAGCAGCGGGTTCAGCTACCTGGAGAGGAAGCTGGTGAAGAAGATTCAGGAGGGGATGCGGGAGCTGGACAGGCTGAGGAACGGGGAGGAGAAGGAGGAGGACCTGGAGTACTGCAACCTGCCTGACCCCGAGGGCATTGCGAGGCAGGAGGCGAGGGAGGCGGACAGGGGACTGTGTAAGATCAACAGGTACAACCCCGACGTCCTCCTCCCTTCCTCCCTGGAGGAGAATCTCCGCTGCGGCGCCCGCCTGGCCCAGGTGCTGGCGGTGGTGACGAGCCTGTCGGCGTCGCTGGCGTTCAAGGGGGGGGCGGAAAGGAGGAAGGAGGACGTGAAGGCGGAGGCGGAACAGCTAAGGAAGACGCTGATCTCGCTAGGACCAACCTTCATCAAGGTCGGGCAGGTGCTGGCCAACCGGCCGGACATCGTCAGGGCAGACTACATGGAAGAGCTTACAAAGCTGCAGGATAAGGTCCAACAGACCATCACTGCCTCCTGCTCCTGCGCTCCCGTCTTCTCATCTCCCCTCCTCTTCCTGCTGCTTTCGATCTCCCTTCTGCTTTCTTTCCCCCCTCCCCCCTCCCCCTTCCTTGTCCTCCTCCTCCTC